AGAGATGGCAGCTTTTGCAATACAGCCTCCGCGGTAAAAGTGATGTGCGTTAGTCCTAGTGAGAATACAACAAAAGTTGGTAGATCGCTTGGTGACAAGACCCTTTGAAATGTGGGGATATATTTCATCCGCAACGCGTTTGCTGCTTCCACAGCTGTTCTTGTTGGGCCATCAGCAGTCCTGAGTGGAGGAAATCCTTGCCTCACGTTTCGTAGGCTATTTACGTGCTTTTACAGCAGTTTGTGGTTGGTACTGAAGGTTTTTACGATGTTCTGCTCATGGACGGTTTGTCTTCTCTTAGCAGTTGAGTGCAGTAGTTACGTTGGGCTACGTAGTTGTCCCAAGTTTCTGGTGCTGGAGCTTCTCTTTACGCTTCTCATGCTACGTTGCGTACTGTCATCAGTTTTCGAGTTCTGCTCCTAACGAAAGAAACTGATTTACACTTATCGAAAACTCTTATTTCTGAAGCCTCTGCAATCAGCTGACTGAATTTGTTGACGAATTCGAGTCAGGAAACTTCCGGGGGTTTTTCGGCAAGGAACGACCAAGTTGTGGCGCTGATGAATTGGGCTAATCGATGGTAGCTTGTAGTGATTCGCACAGTCTCATCGTTGTCATTTCAATATTCCGAAATATAGGAGATGAATTTGAAACTGATGACTGCGTGATCACTGCGACCCAACGGGCAGTTTAAAACCAAAACATTAATCGTATGCTCCTTGCTGGTAAGCACAAGATCCAGCACAGATGACCTGTTACCTGTTCTGAACCGATTGGGCCAAAGAGGAATAGTGGTTACGAGATCTTGTAGGTCGGCTTCGAATTGTCCTCCGCTCGTGGGAGGAGTTTCTACACAATATATGTTGAAATCACCCATGCTAAATATGTGAGTGTACTTTCGTTGTAAACTTTATCTTACAGCAGCCGCTAGGTGGCAGTCCGTTTCAGGTATAGAGTTAGGGGGCGGTACATCATGTTAATAAGGGAAACGTCCCTGCCTTTTAACTGCAACTGGCACCAAATAGTGTCGGGGCACTGCGAGGCTGATTCCTCCACGGCTTCGCACTGAAAGTCGCTTCTGTAATACAGGATTTCCCCTCCTCCTTTTGTGAGCTTATCATTCCGGATCAGTGACTTGTCCGGTAGCGAAACTTCAACGCCTGTCATTCCCGTGTGCAACCACGTCTTCGTGATACCAATGACATCACATGACGCGGAAGCTTTGTGGTTTTTCAGTTCGACCAGTTTATTGAAAAGATCCCGAGCATTCGTATACAATCAGGCCAGTTTCTCGATCTTTAGGAGACCACAGAGTGGTGAAGGGGTTAATTGTGGGAGAACACCGACCGATGGGAGGTTGGCAGTTACTCAATTTTTGATGACTTAATGATACCTTGTCTGAAAGTGGATTCGGCCAGTGTGCATCCCAATCTTCGTTTAGACCTACGTCAGTCAATTAAAGCAGCAATCAAGTTACGTTTCTGTACATTTGTCGGCATGCTTGCTGCTTCAGGTACTTTAATAGTTGAGCTGTGCAAAGCTTCTGTAACCTCTAACCGAAGTTCATAATGAAGACGTTTCCGATTTCTCCGCCATCAATCCAAAGCATCCGTTGCTTGTTGCTCTGACTGAACCTGACGATTTAGTATTCTAGGGCCGGATCCTCTATAATTTGGTGAGAGAGGTATTCTGGTGAGCGATAGCGCTACAATATTATCCAAAGAAAGTGTTGCACGAATGAACCGCCACTGTACTAAATCGTGCTTTCCGGTCTCTTGAATATCTTTAGAAGGATGTTCTGGCACGTCATGTAAGAAGATTGTGTTTAGGCGGTCTTGCTTGCTGTGCCCCTCTTCGGTGTTGCTTTTTGATTGTCGCGCGCACCAAGGGACATCAGGATAGATGTGTATCCTACAGGATCCGTGTGTTAGCGCGCTTGCGGAGAGCAAAACGTTTTCTACGTCGGTGGAGGATTCTAGTGTTACTCGAATAAGTCTGGGTTCTCCATAGTGTGGCGAGTTCGGATGACGAGTAATTCGTACTGAGCTTATGGGCTTGGCTTTGACACTTATCTGCACGCACAATGAGTTCCATTGGTCTTGATCGTCCGATAACTTATCCCGCAGTGTGATGGCGGTAGATTCAGGGACATTTGAGCATACAACAGTCCGGGCGCTATTGTTGGATCCATTTTTCGTTGATCTACAAGGTAGGGTACTCGTTTGTCCTGATCTGCTGACAAGTGTTGATTGTTTGCTGTTTGTCCCTCTATTCGCGTTAACGGTGTTTACAACAGAAGAGGCAGCAACGGCGGCCTCCAGGCGGACCTTTGCAGCAATCTCTGCGTATGTAACTGATGTTCCGGGGGGCCTTGTCTCGACAAGAGACATCTGAGCTACAGGTACCGAGAGTTGGTGTTCGGCTGTTTCATCCTTGTTAATGCTAGATGTCAGGTCTAGTGGAAGTTGCTTGACCAGACGTTTCGAGTGGTGCCTGATTTTCCTTGCCATGAGTACTGTTCGACTCTCCTAGGTACGGCCAGTTTTCGCCCGGCGTTCTACCAAAGTTGCAGAAGACAACGGAGATGGGGAGGTTGCTGATTGCGGTTCAGGGGAAGCGGAGTGTGCAACATTTCGTCGCTTAGATACCGCTACACTTCTGTGGTGCCTACTCGCTTTCATTAGAGTTATCTTATCGTTTATCCTCTGCTTGGCTTCTGCGGTTAACCGGTCGCACTTCTGAACTAGAATAAGCAAGCACTTAACGAGTGGGATGGTGGAGCAAGCAGTACAGAACCACAGTGCGTCTTGTGAGCTATTTCACTCTCGTACCTGTTGTTGGAACACATTCCAACCATTCCAAACAGCGCGAGCAAACCAGACCGATGTTAACTACTCGATGACATTCTCCTAACTGGCAAATACCTTTCGCTTGGAGCCTTTTCGGATTCGCATCTCTGCCATTCAACGTGGTGTCGTTACCTGACCCAGTGGGTTGGTTAGCGTTCTGTACTTTTACAGCTTTGAGAGCGGCGCACATCGGTCAGGCGAGCGTGCTGGTTGCAAGGTCAAATGAGCGGTCGGCGTGGTCGCACGGTCCGTGTGATGGGTTATGCAGGTGCATTGGCTGACAAGGTCACAAGGAATGGCGAGTGACTGGAACCTGCTAACTGAATCTAAACACAGCGCTGAACACGGGTTGAGAACCAGTGTTCAGTGCTGTGTTCAGATTCAACAACAAATTCTTTCACAGCTCTGTTGAGAAACGCCGGATCAGAATAAGCTTAGGCTTTTCGGGCAGCCTCGAGGAATCTGTATTGAATGGTGTCACAGAGAAAGGCAACCGGCTCAATGTGATTGAGTTATCGGCTTGCGCTTAATCACAGATACCAGTGAAAAGGTTAGTGATAGCATGGACTCTAATTGGAAAAGATATTTCCATGTATGATGGATCACTGTGTAGGGCTGGTAAGTCCGGTTCGAATGGGCGTCCAGTGACAACTCTTCGAGAAGATGGAGAGATGGTAGAGAGGAATAATCCAAATGAACCAGGAGCACCTACGTCACGCTTGTGTGGGGATGTCCGATACGGAGTTCAGCACAGATCACCTTGACTGCAAGGTGTGCTTTCATGCTGTCTTCAAGGAGATATAAAACCTTTTCGTTAGTAGGTGTTTAACATAGCATTTCGTTGACTTCACTCTCTTCATACTTTGCACTATTAATGTAACAGCGCTATCGATCAGATGCCTCTGACTTTCACATATACGAAATTTACCCCTCTTCTCCACAGTATTCTAGTCAACTTCACACTTATCATCTACATCGGTCTCTGATACCAGCGCATAATTTTCTGCATCGAGTCAATCGATGCACTTACGGTTCACGCACCCAATCTTACCAACGCAGCAGTGGTCATCTGCTGCGTTGATGGAACCCTTGGAGCTAAGTCGTCACGGAATGTCTCAATCGTTGTTGTCCCTAAATGCCATCTAGACGAGAACTCCCAACTCATACTGGTTTACGATGGAATTGTATAGATATATACTCGGTAAATGCTTATACAATATGATACTGAACAACGTGTGGTCAATTCCATGGTACCGCACTGGACTTTGACCTGTGTACCCATCCAGTAGTATATGCATGTTCCGGTGTTCAATCTTCAACACTTTCCGTGCAGACTTGTGGTTATGCCAGAGGACCGATGAGATTGCAAATGGATTTAGTAGCATTGAATAGGTGAAATACGAAGTGGGTGGGACAAAACTAAAGAGGCATCAGAGACAGCAAGTTTACACTTACCCTTCACACTATAGACAGCATGAAAGCTGATTGCTCCGCAATAATTTGACCACCTTTGCAGTTTGATAGGGCCCGTACTTGTGGAGTCAGATGTTGGCTTTTACTGCTTTCATTGCCTGAGCGCCTGAGCCCGGATAGAAGATGGGTTGGGTTTTTTCGCTAAAGTATCTGGTGCTCCTCGCTCTTGACAAGTGGCGAGAAAGAAAGGGACTTACGAGTCCACGTTTTAGCTCTTGATAGGAGGAAAGACTGCTGCGGCCACCATCCATGCTCGGGATGAAGAGGTCTCCTTAAGTCGTCAACAGGATACCCAGAGCGGTATTAAGTTATTCGTCTGTTCGCCCCACAAAAGCAACAGAACGCGCTTAAAAACCTCGGAATTGTTCAACTTGACAAATGCTATCTTAATGTTACTGATCTCTGAAGTTCATGGTCACGGATCTCCACGTGAAAGACAGTCTAAGTATTTCCATTCATCTGCAGTTGAGACTCCCCAGAGTCTTTGAAGGAAACATGTGTGGGCCGCTGGGGTGCATCCGACCTTCGTTTTTGTTAATCAGTTAAATCTATTTGTACATGCAGCTCTTTTAGCTACAACAGGTAGTGTACAAATGGATCACCGAAATATACTGATTCCTTTTACAGCGAACAGAAAAACTTTCCATTTTACTCTTGAGATATGTCCTTATTTTTCAGCTCTCTTTCGACAATCGATGTTCTACCAAGGTTTGCTGTCCTACACTACGGATTAGCTATTCAGTGAATGTCACACGGTGAGTTATACTCCCAGTACTATGTCTGCAACAGCCAATCTTTTAGCTGGAATCGTAGCACTTTTCAATATCCACAAACCCTTTATTGATACTGTGGAAGGGGAACGTGGCCGCTTGCATACCTCCTATCGTACCATGATACATTGCAACACCACTACCTTGAGTTCACAAGTACACACATCAGACTCTTTTGTTTAACCAGTTAGATATGCCCTAGCTTTGTAGTTTCAGGTGGTTGGTATGGTCCAGAAGAGCGATAGCCATTAAATTACAATAATAAACTGCAGAATGGACCAGGGTTACAATTCACTCTACTCAGATGTGTTCTTCGTGCACTGGTACTCGCAACAAGCTGTGTCTCACTGGGCGGGTTATTGAGTACTGAAGTAGTCGAACCCACCGAAAGCAGAAAGCAATTCACCCCCAGTTCACATTATCTGACTTATGAACTAAAGATGAAGCAACGTCGAGTTAGCTTTCAATGCAGTATTATGTGCGTCATAACTATTGTTACCTGCACATACTAAGAGTTACGGTCAACCAAAAAACAGACTAGATTCATCAGTCACGTAAGAGCTGTAATTTTCCACTGAATCCCGGAGCAGTTTCTTGAGGTAGGTTGTTAAGTAACGCCGAATGCTGACTGAAAGCCGGCATATTTATAGGTGCAAAAAGCGCAATTTTACCCAGTTCTAATTTTTCTTTCAATACCCTAGCTACTGAAGGCGGTCATTCCTTCCCCATGATTTTATCTAATCAATGCTAACTTGCACCAACCCTGTGCGACAACCAAAGGGTGCCCGCAGTGATTAGTAGAGTCCAAAATACAACAAACACATCGTAATACATATGTCTTCTCTCCGAACTCTTGACAGGGACAAACATGGTCCGGTGGTCTATGTTGGTGATGATAAAACGCAAACAATCTCTCTGCAAGCCAGTGTTACCAATGTCGGAGAGGACCCGGCTTACACGATTACATTGGTTAGCACTTATCCACCTGATCTGTTGGAATTAGACCCTAGAGTGAGTGCTTTCATCTTTGACAGAAGCGTTTTCGTGTAACTCATGTAAATCTTGGTTAAATATTTCCATTTTCTTCGCTAATTATTAAAGTGCCTTTCCAAAGTCGATCCATAGCACAAATATGGTGGTGTTCTGTATCTTTTCTCAGTCATTTGCATCCATACCGTTTTTCAATTCCTCCCTAAAGAAATCATATTCATCCACAGACCTCTCAAATTGCATCCAGTGGGTGCGAACGCTTCTAAATTCTACTGTTCATTAAGTGACCAATTCCGAATCATTCGAGCGTAGAACAGATGATTACACAGAATGGGATACGACAAACAAACTTAGTAATTTTCTCATAGTAGTCCGAGTGTTTTGATGCATTCATGACTAGGCAGTGTTTCGGCGTAATTACTTTAAGATTCTGCACAACAGTTTCCAAGTCAGGTAGTCCTCCACATGCTTGGCAAAATGCCAAGTGAACCTTTCGTCGTACTGGGACTCGTCAGTGGTGCACATCTCCTGGATCCATTAGAACCCGAACCCGTAATCACTGATAGCCTGCGTTTCTAGGCAGCAATTTATGCCCCTCGGTCACGGAGGACAGCTGCGAATTGTCATGATTTACAAGATAACCGCGATATAGCAAAACTCCTTTCACCTATCTTACTTTTCAATACTAATCGAGGACGAAGAATCTCCGCGTTGTATTTACTAGTCCCTCGTGGGGGGGGGGCATGCAGCCTATGGCAATATACCACCGCTTTAGATCGCTCAAGTAACGAACGCGCAAGTACACAGCAACTATGCCACCGCTTGCGTTTTCTTTGTGCTGAACAAGTCGAATCAAAACTGGCTACTAAACTTCAGCGTTCAATCTAAAGGCTCCGGTTATGAGTTGTTCGAAATGATCAGTTGGCTTGAGGCTATTCCGCATCATCTAGCTGGTGTGCATCTGCATTCTGGGAGGCCGGTAATATCTATCACGCCACGATGTCCTTCACTCCTGCTCAGCTGTCGCGGCAAATCCGTCAACTAGATTAGTCCCTATGTTCTCATATCAGCCGACTATCCCAACATTTTTTGTGTGAGACAGGATAAGTAACCTTCGAAAAGAGGATCTGTTCGTTCCATAATAGAGATACAAGTTCAGGTGGGACCGAAACCATAGGAAAGTCCATTTGATTTTCCTTCTTGAGCGAATCGTTGAGAAAAGACTTGATAAAATGCTTTGAAGTATTCATGCATCTAAAACGAAACATCCGAGTCACACCCTAGTCAATCACTTACTGTCTACGTTTCCCGCATTATCAATCCCTGCTGTGTCAGTTAAGTGAAGTAAGCAAAGTATTAGAAGGTGAGTCTGGGATTAAAGATAAGGGAGGTTATTTGATATAGCATAATATCAATATTTGCGGGAAAGTACAAAATGGAAATCTAACCATGAAGATGAAAGTTAGTCAGGAGAAAAGACACCTTTCGTGTTGTCATCCAAAAACCTCTGGTTGATGCTCAAACACCTTGGCCTTTATATCCTGGCAACCCTTTTTGGAAGCGAGTTCCAGCGCCTGATAACTTTGCGCCACAGCCGAGTTCTCGATCTAATCCCATCGGACTTCCGTTTGCCCACCTTCATTGAATACCCACAGAGACCAGACAGTCTAGGCGGACTGCATAGCAGCGGTTAGGAGTAGGTCTTCTCTAAGCCTCCAGTAATACATTGAATGCATTCCCAGACTATGGAGGCGCTATGTGTACGTTTGCTTTCGCAACCCCTTATCCAACCTGGTACCAACCCATAAAACTCTCTCCATCCCTATTTTGTCCCGGACGAGGCAGGACGGGAAAGCCTGGACGCGGTATTCCAGATGAGCCGAATAAAAGCCTAAAAGAGTTCACAAAGATATCGGCCATCAAAGTTTCGGAGGAGCGCAGTGATAACCATAGCATTCAGAGCACTACTTGCGGCCTTCTTCTAGTTGTCTCCAAAGTGTATGACGTCTAGATCAACCTGGTTGGATACACGGGGGAGCTCGACCCCATCGATCAAGTACCCCGAGGGGACAACCTGCTCCAATACGAAGAACGAAATAGTTTGCCTGATTTATAGACAGTAGCCATAAAATATACTAGTCCCAGATCTTATCTAAGGCACCCTGAATAGCCTCAGGACCCCACAAATGTAATTCATCATAGTAAGTAGTGGTGATGGTACCTCAAGCACCACAGGTAGGTCATTCATATACATAAAGAACGGCACCGGTCCGATGATCGAGCTTCCATTCGGAAGGTAGTGAACAGCCGTCAAGCAGTTTCTGAGAAACGATAGAGAGCGGTCCACTTAGTTCCGTAGACATCCCATGTAACAGCCTCGGGTCAATTAAATAAAGTACAGAGGTCATATCAGCAAACTTAGTAGACGACCGGTTAATATATTTATTGCGATACACAACGTTTCACCCTTGACAGAAAAGCTTCCTCAGGCCCAATCAAGGAACGGAAGTGTACCGCTCTGCGACTCAACTTCCATGGTGAACTTTATCGCATTGTCAATGGAGTTCAAATAGTTTAACAATTCATCTTTTCTATCTCTTTTTATAATCGCAAAAGTGTCATCCACGTAGCGCCACCATATTTTCAGGGCACCACGGAAATTTGGTAATGCCTTCTTTTCAAACTCTTCCATGTACATATTGACTAATACGAGAGATATTGGAGATCCCATGGCTAGACCCTGTTCTTGAGTGTACATTCTAGCCTAATGAAGCTTTTGTGTCAAAAGCGAAACGTTGTGTATCGCCATAAATATATTAACCGGTCATCTACCAAGTTTTCTGAAATGATGACTTCTCGATCGGTTCCAAATATTTTCCAAGATATTAAGGTAAAGAGGTATTAGAATAGTTCAGCTTTTGTAGCAGTCCACGGACTTCCGCCTTCGCTACACTAAATCCAGCTAGGCACGAACCCTATGGGACTCCGGAAAGCGGTTCAACACTTGTCAAGGAAGTTTCTCTACAATCGATCCTACATACTGCCCACCAAGTACACAGGCTTTACCATAATCCGTATGCGCATGAGTACCACCGGCTCCCATCAACGCTGGCATTGACGAGTTCAAATCGCAGTGCATTTTGACATATACAAAGAACTTTTGCGAATCCTCCTAGGCTCCAACTACTAAACCGTTCTCATACATTAGCCGAACATTTCTCAGGCGTTGCTGGCACCTATTTCTATCCTCACGGTACCTGTCATAGGTACCGGTGGATGGAATTTCTCGGTAGGTCCGCCAGCATTTAGGCCTCATTGTGAGCAGGTACCTGTCAGTGGCATCTATCCAGAGGGACTGTGTTCGTGCCTCCTTTCTCCTTCTGACGAGGATGCAAGGAGCATGGACTTCCGTGAAGTAAGACTAAAATTTACCCCAGGCTAATTGGACAGTATCGCCTCCCAGGATCTCACTAAGCAAACCTGAAGCCTTGGTTCGCATTGTTTGATAGTTTGTTTGCTGTATGTTTGCATGTGACTTCAAGGTACGCTGGTGATTTCTAGCCAGAGTACAAATGAAGAGCAAACAAACATGATCATTACCTCCCAGAGGAGAGCCGTAAGTGGTGTCGCTTACGCAATCGACCAATTTCACAAACACACGGTCCAAACTAGTGGGTACTTGGGCGTCCACGAACTGATGCAACAGTACTTTTAACGTAAGCTCAAGAAGATCTGCACTGAAATTGCCTCATGCGAAGTCGCGATAAATATCTCTGCAGTAAACTTCCGATAGGTAGAATCCACTCAGTACTAGATATCTGTTTACGTACTGAGAGTGCATAAACTCAAGCACCTCCTCGGATGCACCCACAGGGCATCTATAAACAATTACAACTGTAAATTCGGCCCAGGGAGTGCTAATTACAGCCGGCAGAGCTTCAGTAGTTTTCCACCGACTGAAACAAGCAAGTCTACAAAACGTTAGGTTTACATCCTACCTAAAGAGCAATGCCCGCCAGTCAGCCAACGTAGCGATCGTACACAATTAGTGTGTAGCCACCTAAATGTATTTCACCGTTCGTGCTGTCCTGAGCCTGCCACGTTTCAGTGAATGGATTGGCGGCATCCGTATCCGTATTTGCCTATCACTGTGTCCTCCACGGGGGCAGCCACAAGACGCCTTCGCTTACAGAGGGACCATGGGTGGCTTGCGCTGCACCACCCACTGCTCCAATCGCACATTCCATATCCAGGGTAAACCAGAAGGAATAAGACCGGGAGGCATGTAGATGGGAGCCACGTTTCATCAACGGAGCCGGACCACACTTCTTCAACAAACAGGACGGAAGCATTCTGACCTAATTAGGAAAGCATGCACACCAGACGTACACAAGACGGTGGCTGGACCGTAGCCCGTTCCACACAGGTTGCATGGAACCACTCTTTGAGCCTAGCACCGTCACGAGGATGATGCACCCCGTCCCCTTCAGCAACGACCAACTGTCTCCTGGAGTCAGCAATCGAGGTGGAGGGTATTAGACAGGTAGGCACTTTGTCAACATTTGCATCAAGCGCAGCCACACCGGGGAGCTCAATCAACATTTACTTCTGAAATGCAAAAACACTCATCACGCAGGCAAATGTACCACATGCGCCGCCTTACTGGCCTGTATTAGTAAATCGAATGGGAGCGGACGCATCGTGCTTCTATTCCGCGTGCAATAGTACCTTCTCCTGCACCTGAGCAACCGCCCTTTTGAGCAGTCCACGAAATTCGCATCGATCAAATTTGCCTTGTATTCGCAACACCTGAAATCACCATTAGTTCGTCATAAACTCACTTCTTCATTTCCTGGTAATGTGATTTTCGGTTTGCCCCAGTGCCACATTCCTGCATTAAATGGGCCGTACAAAAGCTGTATGAGTATCCTCGTCGAATTCATTCGGCATACATATATACATGGATTGGCGTCATCCATGTCCATTGGCAGTTCGAATACAAGATATGCAAGTGCGTTTGT